CCCCGGGGGGCCCCTTTAGCCCCAGCTCTCGATGCTCGGCGGCGGGAGTCCTCCGGCGGGCCCCGCCTCGCCGCAGCTCCCGGGGCTGAAGGGTGGGAGGGCAAGCGGCCGCCCCGCACGGCAGAGAGCCGGCCCGCACGGCGAGGCTGAGCAAGCGGCTGTGTTTAATAAACCCTTTTTTTTCCTTGTGAGCTGAGGTGGGGCCAGGCCCGGTCGCGGTGGGTGCTGCAGGCCGCACCCGCCGGCCCTTCTCCGCCCTGAGGAGATCCGCCCCGCCGGGGCTGCCGCCGGGGCCCTGAGGGGACAGGCCCCACTGGGGATGGGACTTGGCTGCCAGCAGGCCCCCTCTCCCAGCTGCGCAATGGTGGGGGCTGGCAGGGAGCTGCTCCACCCTGTCCATCAACCCTCGGTAAGGGGCTCCGATGCTTTTTCCCCGGCAAAGGTCCAGCACTGCTGCGGCTGTAAGCAAATCCCCCTCCCTTAGCCTGGACTGCAGCGGGAGCCCACCGTCCAGCACTCGGGTCGGTCCCCGTACACCTCCAGTCACATTGCAGTGGAGCTGGAAAGCTGGAAGCTCTGTGAGCGGGGGCAGCCTTGTTGCGCTCCAGGGCCCCGCAAAAGCAGCACGTGGGTTTTTTTGGTCACAGCAGGACCCGGGTTTCTTGCCTTGCTCCCTCCTCCATCAGGTGCCCGGGGTTTGGCCCCCACTCAGTACCAGCACAGGGGGTGCATCACCTTAGCACTTAGCCCTGTGAGGACAAGGACATGTTGAGAAGGGCTGTTTCTAGCTCTAGCAGGTTGTGCTTCTCTTTTTCAGGACCAGAAGGACACGGATTTCCACAGAGACAAAAGCAGCAATGGCTTCAGGCAGTGACCTGAACCGCAGCAAACCACATCCAAATTTCCCTCATGTAACATGCTCCCTTTATTTTCTAACCGAACAGCAGCTTTAGCACACATAGCCGAGAAAAGCAGGTGCATTCCCAGAGGCTAACAGGCAGCAGACACAGGGCTCTGATCTAAGGGCAATTCTGTCCTTTTGAGGAACACATGGAAAAAAAGTGAACCCAGTCATTCCCCCAGGAAGCCTGGTCCCCGTTTTGATAACTCATATCAGACAAGAACCTCAGGCAATTGCTTCAAGAGCAGAGAGGATGAAAAAAAAAATAGTCTTTCAAGAGAAGCATTACAAGTGTCTGCTCTTGATAAACAAGTTATTCCTTAAAACAAGCACTCCCACCTGCTTTCAGTAAGTCAAAAAAAAAAAAAGAGCTTTCAGGAGGTGGTGTCTGCATTTCATAACACAAACTCCATGGCATTCGGTCAGTTATCGCAGATAAAGATCAGATCAAGACAGTCCAAACCTATCTCTAGGATCTATTTAAGGGTTTATATTAACAGACTTGGAAACCAGCTCACTTAATCTGCAACCAATCATATGAAGCAAGATATAGAGGAGCTAAACTAAATACACTGACACACAGCATAGCTTCAGAAGATTTATTTTCAGTCCTTAAAGTAGACCGGTGCTGCTTCTGTTCATAATTTTTTCTCTCCATTACAGTTTTGGTTTTCATGCAAACAGTAGTGAGAATGTTTTTTTTATTTAAAAGTGCAGCCTTTGGCAGGCACAATCAGCCTAGTAGAGTTAATCATCCATATTTCCTTTAAAAAAATTATTTATTAAACCATGATTTTAAAAAGTTAAAAGCTGCCAAGAACATTTAAGAAAAGAGTAAGAAAAGGGCAAAGACCAAACATCTGGGTTCCAGAAATTGTGTGTAGAGCAAGAGTCGCTGCAGTAACCAGAGTGTGGATAGCACAGTGCCAGCTACATCTGGATCCCAGCTCCTGCTCCACACTTACAGCCATTCTTGTTTTGCAGACTTGAGGGTTTATTCATTGGGGAAATGTACCCGATAGCCCCGGGGGACCAAGCTGAAAGATGTACAGGGATGTCTGCAAAAACCAGAGGGACAGAGCAGCTGCAGGAGGACAGATCCTCATCTGCAACTGGTCTGGCAGGGCTCACAGTTTAGTCACCCAGCTTCCTTTCACCTGAAGGTTTGGTTTCCCCTAGGCCTCCCTGAGGGGCTGCAGAGGCGTAACAGCAGGCTTATTTCTGCACTCGACGGACAGGACAGACAACCACCCGTTCAGAGTTTATGCTCCTGATCAGATCCAAGGAGAGATTTATCAGGAAGGGGGGCCCTAAGGTAGCTTTAATCACCACTGGCAGTGGCTGGTGTTGGAACCACCGAGATCTGACTGCAGGATGAACCCACGGAGCGGACAGCAGTCCGCCATGCCCACCTCCGAGCTTAGGGGCCCTGCAGGCAGACCTCTGCGTCCGTGCTCCTTCCCACCTTTGCCTAGCATGCGACTGGGCCACAGAGGGGGGAGCCTGACTTGTGTTTTGGTGAGGTCAGGAGGGGAAGAACTAGTCCAAAGTCAGGAAGCGTAGGACGGAGCACAGAAGGCACTTATTTCTTTGCGCCCATAAAGCTGTTGTCGGGGGCTTTGCCAGAGAAGCGCTCAATGTCTGGCAGCAAGGCCCTTTAGGAACCTGTCGTGACAAGCACAGTTCTGAATCCATACGCTGGGAGGAAAGTAGCTCCCCGCCTGAGAAATGCAGGAGGGACAGAGGAAAGAGTAAGATCACAGGATTTTTTTTTTTTTTTTTTCTCACATCACCCTTGGGGCTACATTTTCTTTAAAACAAATCACTTTGGCTAAGGGACGCAGCAGAACGACGCGAGCTGGAGGTCTCCAGCTTCCCTTGCTGTTCCTCCCAGAGAAGCGCTCAATGTCTGGCAGCAAGGCCCTTTAGGAACCTGTCGTGACAAGCACAGTTCTGAATCCATACGCTGGGAGGAAAGTAGCTCCCCGCCTGAGAAATGCAGGAGGGACAGAGGAAAGAGTAAGATCACAGGATTTTTTTTTTTTTTTGTCTCACATCACACTTGGTGCTACAGCTTCTGTCTAACAAATCACGTTGGCTAAGGGACGCAGCAGAACGACGCGAGCTGGAGGTCTCCAGCTTCCCTTGCTGTTCCTCTAAAGCAGGTTAGTTGAGAACTAGGACTGTCCACAGTAAAGAGTAACAAAGCACAGGTAACCTCCGTTACAGACCAGCAAAGCAAACACTGCTAATTTTTCAGCTTGTCCTCTTCAAGGGAGGCTGGCTATGTCTCTCTCTGGAGGCGGACCAGAAGGCTTTGGGTTGCTTTCATTGGCTTTTCCTTCAAACATCATGACCCTGCAAAACACAACAGATAATACCAATGAAAAGAGCAGGTGCATCTTTACCCATCATTGGGGGTGGGATTATCTTATCTGCTGAAAAATAGCATCTGCCTTCTATGCGAAGGGCATCCGATAATGAACAGAGGAGGGAAAGCCAACAGAGGGCAGTGCTGCCAGCCTGGCAGGCAGCTTTGCTCTTCCAGCAGCTTCCAGGAGTGGGTTCCCCCAAAGCCTCTGCTGGTTTTCCTCTCAGAGCCCAGAGAATCAGCACATTTTATTTAGACAGCGACAGCCAGTTCCAAAATCCCCCTGGGCACACATGCCAAGTGCTCCTGATGCATAAACACAAATACCGTCCCTGGCCCACCTTGTACATAGCCACACAGCAGAACATTCAGAAGCCAACACCAAGCAAGCAATAGCAATTACAGCCAGGAAAGAGGGCAGAGACAAGGAGCAAACCACTGGCTAGAAGAATCTCAAGCATTTTGCAACCACGAGCGCTGTCTTCCTCCCTGAGGAGTGCAGCTACGCTGGGAATGCCAGCTGCCACGCTGGATCAAAGGACCGCACTGCTTTTGGGACGAGTTTTACATTTCTGCTCCTGCTCTAAGGAGTCCAACAGACAATGGGGCGTCTGTTCGCAAAAGAAGGGACCCGTCTGTGAAAGCTGCTGCGGCTGGGAGGAAGGACGGAAGATATGGGACAGGCTGCAGGCTCAGCCTGCTCCGGTGGAGAAAGAAGGGTGGAACAGGGGTGTCAGAAGTCTGTGTGTGCTTGGAAGAGGAACATCCCAACACACAGACACAGGCACTCAGTGGGGAGAGGAGAGACTCATGGCCAGCAAGCACGTACCACCTTAGAGGGACTGCGTGAGAGGTGGGAGCAAGATCCTTCCTCCCAACCTGCCCTGAAAGCTGGCTGTTTTTCTAAAGCTGCCTTCAGAAAGTGGTAAGGGGGATGGAGGGGAGCAGCTCCTATTCATGGTGGTTACAGACACAAAAGCAGGGCCAAACTCTGTGGCTGTGAAAGGAAAAGCCAGGCTTCAATGGGCTGCAGATGGAGCCAAGCAAGTGTTCGGAAGCCATTTGTTAGAGCAGGACTTTCAGAGCCCTGTTGAGAGGGCAGAGGGGACCGTGGGAGGCTAGTGCTGGCAGCCTGCACCACAGAAAACCTCTCCCAGCACAAGCCAGTTGTTTCAAGCATGTGTCCCGTCTCCATCTACTGCCCATCTCTCCAAAATCAGGCAGCGAGGGAGCATCCTGCAGGAAATAGGAGCCAGCCAACTGGTGTTGGCAGGACCATCATTCCACTCGAGCCCTGCCACTGTTCACTGGGGAAGCCTGTGTCCCCAAAGCCAGCAGACGCCACAGGGAAGAGACAGGAAGAAGTCCCACAGTGCGGAATGCCTGCACACCCTCGGGAAAGGAGGGGAATCGCTCCGCACGGAGCACGTGGGAGGAAGCCTGTGCTAACACACAGCAGGCAGCTCCGCTGTGAGTGCTCGCCACTGCTCAGCCTAGACATGGACTTATACACCCTCTCGTGTCTCTTTGCAAACTCCCACTTCACGAGGGTCCTTGTCTCCCCTCCACGAACACCAAGCACGCACAGCTCCACCTCCACCAGGCAGAACAGCCCCTGCTTCCCGGCTCCCCCAACCCGCCAGCTCAAGTCCTGTGTACCCCCCACTCCCTCCCAGGGACACTCACAGTTTAAGCACAGCAGAGCGTTTCCCAAGCATCACGTTGACGAAGTCCTGGTACGAGATGGTCTCGCTAACCCCTCCAGTCACCTCAGAGATCATCTTCTTCAGTTCGAGGTGGGTCTTCGGAGCCCCCATCTTCTCCATCATCCTTTTGACAGACATCAAATCTGCAAGAGCAAGGCAATCGGTGCTGTCAAGAGGTGACCAGACTGAGGACAGACCAACCCCAGGGATACAGGCATGAGTTCCCACCTTGTCTGCGGACTCCGAGGCTGACAGCACTAAGCTGTTGCTAAAAGCCAAGAGAAGCCTTCCAGCACTGTACTGCCAGTACAGAGCATCACTTCCCATTTGTGCAGCTCAAGATAAAAGCACCACACACGCAGAAGAGGGACAACTCTCCAAGTGCTCCAGATATACGTGGGGACACTGCTCTCTAGCTCAGAGCATGGTGCCAAGAATCACAAGGATGAGGGGGAGGAGAGAAGCAACGCTGGGGTTAAAGCCAGAGACAAACAGGCTGTAGGGAGCAGGTGCCCCTGCCCATCGCCACAGGCCATTTCCTTCCATTGATCTGCTGCCTGCTGAGACCTGCGGCCCCTTCCCTCCCGGAAACCCAGCGCAGCCCTGAGTCAGCCTCCTCCAGCTCCCCACAGGCTTTGCTTCAGCTGCAGGACTGGTGGAGGAGGAGAGCGAGGCAGCAGCCTCCTGGAAGGGCGCAGCATGCGAGTGAGCACACTTCAGTGTCAGCTCCAGGCCTGCAGAAGGCTGGATCTTTACGTAACCGGTGCTTTCTGGGCCCAAACCAGGACCGCCCAGCTGAGCTAGACTCACACCCAGTTCCGCTGCTTCCCTCCACTCCCCTCCCATCAAAGCAAAGAGCTTCTCTGCACTAGAAGTGCTCATGGTTTTATACAGCTTCTGCCTCAAGCCAGGCAAAACCCAGGATTATCCAAGCCCTGCAGCTTCCCAGCTCTGGAAATGCTGAGGATTGAGAAGGCAGCCTTGGTGGAGAAACTGCAAGAAGAAAAAAAAGCATTTAGAGCAGAAAGAAGTGGAGGAGCTAAGCAGAGACTCAGGAGGAGAACAGGACTGAGAAGAGCTTAGATCTTGAAGCAGGTGAGGAGAGACTGAGGAAGCTGAGAGGCAGGGGCTGGAGAGCCACGGAAGCCCCTGGCTGGCAATCAAGACCCAAGCAAGGCTGGACACAGGAAAAGCCCACAGGTTTTCCTCCTCAGCAACATGAGTGCAGAGGGAAGCAGGAGATACAGCAGCAGACACCACCTCAGCAGGCTGCTGCTCTTCCAGCCCAGCACCAGCACCCCTCAGAGTCACTCACCAATCTCGCCTTGGTTGTTCAGGTCAAACTCCATGTACTTCTCTGGAAGAGACACAGAAGCAAGTTAGCAGGATGCTAGAGCAGGGGGTATGCAGGGCTTTGGAACACTGCCTGCTTAGAGCAATGAAATAAAAGGTTCGGGGATAAGACTGATATACTGCAAACAGTTCAGAGAGGGAAACCATCTCAAGACCTGGTTTTAGCACCCTTATATCAATTCCAGGGCTCTAGAGTTAAGTGCTCTTTAATTGTGCCTGCTTTTCATTTAAGCTGAAGGAAAACACTGGCATGAGAACAAGGTATCAGCTAGCCATGAATAGCGTTAAAAGGTTTCCAGCCAGAAAAACAAAGCTCTGGAACAGGCTCCCAGAAGGAGTAGCAAGGAAAACAAAACCCTGAGCACTCCCAAAATGAAGCTTGATCAGATTAGGAGGAGGATTAAATGACGTAGTTCCCTGCAATAGCAAGGGACAGACTTTACAGTCCTCCCAATGCTGTGCTGCACTCCCAGAGCAGCACCTGCCAGCAGAGATGCTCAAGGACCACATCGAGAGGGCAAAGCCAAGAACATGCCTAGCAGCAGCTAAGCCGGAGCAGGCTGTTTGCCCTTCCAGCCTGCTGTCAAACATTGCTGAATTGGGCAACTCCAGCATCCTCAGAGAAAGGCAGAGCTTGCTCAAGAAGGTCTGGTTAGCTTTGCAGGACAAAAGCTGGCATGCCGTAACAGACAGAGCACCGATTTGAGTCAGAAAATCAGGACTTCAGTTCTGTGCTGCTTCTGGCCTTTGCAATGGCACACCTGTGCTTCCTACGCCCCCACCTCTCGCTAGCTGTTCCCCATTTAGACTTTAAGCTCTTCAGGCAAGGATTTGCCTGTCTTACAGACCATACACCTCCTAGCACCACAGGGGGCCCCCCATCATCTCCGTTCTGCTAAATGAGAAGAGCAAGATGCCTGCTGCCACCATCCATCCACGCTGAGCTGGAGAAATCTCCACTTGCCCTGCAGTTAGCACTCGCTCCCCAGAACAGCCTCAGAGGACTCAAATTAAGTGAGAGCTCCCAGGCTGCTCCTTTTCCCCAAGGGAAAAGACCTTTTGCCTCTGCTCCAGGGCCACCAGCAAGCAGATGAGCGTGAACAGAGAAGTGGCAGGCTAATTTAAGGAGCCTAAGGGAAGAGTGGATATTTCACACATCGGAGCCTTCCTGGGACTGTGCTTCTGAAGAACGGTGCTGGGTTAACTGGACTGCTGGGCAGCTACAGGCAGAGGAATGGCTTGGCATGTCTTCACCTGGGTCTCAGCTGGTGGATTACTACTGTCACAAGCTGACCAGAACAGACCTATAGAAGCACTATGTACAAGCTGAAGCTGTTCATGCTTCAGGCAGGAATAAATGTCTCCCTTCAAGCATTAAGCAACCGATCCTAGATGAAACTGGGGCTGTCACACACGTGCTTAGGGGCCAAAGCAGTGCTTGGTGTGGAACTAGCTCTCCCCACACTCTGCCCCACCATAATGACCTTGTGCAAACGAACTGCCGCCTCCCTGGGCACGGGTCAGGCACCCCAGCACGTGCTTGGGGACGCAAACCCTGCTCTGCCGCGTCTGTGCCCAGCACATGTTTTCTTTTCTTCTCAGCTGACACCTAGCCAAATGCGCAGAGAACAGAGGGAGCTTTACATCATCGTGCTCTGAGCCTCGGCTCGCACATTCATCTTTCCCTCCCATCCCAGCTGCAGGGATTTGGTGGGGCAAAACCACGCGTGGTTCCCTCCCCTCACAAATGCATTTACACAAACACTGCACGGGGGCTCCCCAGGCCCGGCTGGGGAGGGCAGCGGGAAGGACGGCAGAGAAGAAACACTCCCTCCATCATCACACAATGACTTGATTGTTGGAAGAGCTGGAGGAGGCGTTGGAGAGCGGGACAGGCCACGGAGGCAAACTCACGAGGCAGCAGAAGGAGATGCCAAGGGCTCTCGTTACAGGGAATTCTGCGCCTGTGACCTACAGTCGCAATGTTTGAAGAGCCCCAATTGTGATGGGAAAAATAATGCGGGGCTGCAGCCAAAAGCCAAAGCCATACAAAAGGCAACACAAGAAGAACAGGGAGCACAGGAGGCTCCTCTGTCCCCAGCAGGGTAAAGGATCACAAAAACCTAGCCAGATACTTCCATGCTGGATTACAAAGCCAAAATTCAAAGGGAAATAGCAGACAACACCTGAAATGGAAGCAAGGTCAGGCTTTATTTGGTCAGCGCCAGAGGACAAACCTTGAGGGCACTGTGACGCAGAAGGCGTGTTTTCTCAACTGCCTTTAGCCACTGCTTGGAATTTAAGCAGATGCACCCAGAACAGCCCTGCCAAATCTTGTTCTGTAACCACTTTGGGCACAAGCTCCAGAGGACCCCAGACTTTTTCTCTATCCCCCATCCCAGCAAATGGCCCAAACCTAAGCCCCAGATCTGCTGACCCTCTGGAGTTAGACAGGCTTTGGCCAGGACTAGAGACACATTACTGCTGTTGCTTCTGGTACCAGGGAGCTCGGGAAGGACCAGATCAGACTGAAGAAACTTTTGGGGAGAGAACGGCCCCAATTCCTTCAGAAAGCAGCTGAGACCTCTGCTCTGTGGGAACAGGTCCTCCTACTCACTTAAAAAAAACCTCCAGCTACTGCATCGTCCATTATACCAGCTAGCTTGTCTAGGTATCTAGACAGAAACTGTCCTCCTTTGCTGCTCCCTGGGATTTTGCCCACACAGCAGGTTTTGCAGTAATAGCAGCCGCCAGGCAGGATGTCTGCAGGGTGACATGTCCCTGCCCTGCAAGTGGGGGAAGGACAAAGGCTCATGGGGGAAAACCACCTCTCCGGGGAGTTTCACCGAGTCCCACAAGCAAGGGGGAGGCATCCAGCTCAGTCACTTGTATTTGGCAGAGAATCTCAGGCTGGTAAGATCCAAGTGCTGAAGAAAATAATCTATTCATAGCAAATAGACTGAAACAGGACACAGAAACCCTCCAGTTCTCACCTTTGAACACTGCCAACTTCTCCTCCAGATCTTCTTCATCACTGAACTTTGGGTCACAGAGAAATTCCTAAAACAGAAAAAACCCAGAGTATCCCCAAGGTTAAAGATATAAAGGAAAACACCCTAGAGGGCATGTATGAATGCAGCATTACCCAGAAGACCGACGCAATTCCCAGAGAGCCACATCTGAGCAACAGTGCCAGGAGGCTTGAAAATGGGTTGAATCCCTCCATACCTCGTCATTAACATTCCAGTGCAAGGGGAATGCCTCTGGTGTCTCAGATTTCCCACCAACATCTTAAGGGAGGACTGGACCCCATGTGCCTTTGGAATAACTGCACGAAACCCCCTCTTCTTGCTCACTCAAGGTTTCAGCCCCCCATATCTCTGCTTAAGCATGCTCAGCACATGGATCAGACACCTATTCCCTACAAGAAGCACTCTGATCTCAGAGATTTCAAACTCTTGGATAAACTCTGAGGGCTAGCAAATAGAACAGGCAAAGTTTGCAGAACATCATGCACCCGAGAGGACAGGTATTTTGGGGTAAGGAACAGGCTCTCACTCTCTCAAACTGCCTATCCTTTTTTCCCCCTACCCTGCTCAGGCTGGAGAGGAAATCCTGGGTCAGTTCTGATCACTTGTCCCTAGCCCCACCTCAAAAACCTTCAGGTACCCAAGAGAACAGACCACAACTTGCACAGCCAGCTCCACTGCTATGCCCTGCCAGCAACAACCCGCCGCAGCTGTGAGCAGCAGGGTCCTGCTCCTGTCTCTGCCCTCCCACACCGCCTAGCTCCAGTGAGCCCAGCACAGCTTAATGACTCGGTCTGTGTTCAGCAAAAACACCACATTCTTCAGTGTAGAAATCATTAACATCTGCACAGCTTATGCACTGCCTGTCCAGGATAAAACCCCTCCAGGGGTTAAAGTGGATAGAGGGCTGAGGTTGTTCCCTGCTCCGGGCATGTATTCCTCACCACTGTTATCCATGCTCACAAGGAAGGCAGGAGTGGGTCTCCAAGAGACTATGATCTCTGGCACTGGTAGTACTGGGGCAACATCATTTGTGATTAATGAGACCACCCCACCACCTCCCCCTCAAAGAAGCCCCGTCTGCAAACTCTAGGACATCAGGACTGCAGGAGGTCCACACAGCCACCAGTAACCCAAATGCTCTCCAGCCTCCAGAGCACGTTCTCATTTCTTCCAAAAGGAAGACTGGAGCCAGCTCTCCCCAGGTGCGATGAGCTGGGCCAGTCTGGCTGCTGGGCCAGCTCCGGCAGCACTGCAGCCCCAAGCCGATGCCTGGTTCCTGCTGCCATGGAGCCAGCCCTGAGCCTTTCATGCTCGATCACTGCCTGGCACCCTAACCCTGCAGCATGTGCTCCGGGCCCCTCTGGCCCACACGCCCCGAGTCGCTCCCTCCTTCCTCACTGGGACAGGGGAGTCTGGACCTGCCCAGGGAGTCCAAATGCCTCAAACCTTCACTGCCAGTTAGCCACCGCTTTGGCGAGTCCTTTATGTGCAGCTGAACGAAGGTTTTGTAGGAAGCCCACTAGGACAGAAGTGACTGTCATCCCCTCCTCCCATCTCACAAGCTCCAGATGGGACACCAGAGACCATGCCCACGAAACCAGCGTGACACAGACTTCCCTTATCACCATGGACACCAACTCAAATTGAGAACTGTGGTGAAAAGCAATGTTCCCAGTTCCTTCTTTTGCTCTCCTTTGCCAACTCAATTTCATTTATCTCGGTTATTTCTACCCAGGGGTATCGTTTGCCAGCCCAACACAAAGGGTCCAATTCAGCTTTGAGACCTGGGCTCAGCCAGCAACAGAAGTCAGCGGAGAGCAGAGTAGTGTTACCTACTGCCATTGCCACTGCACAGCCTCTGTAGCAGGAACTTGCCAACCACCACCGAGAACAAAAACAGAGCCAGAGAATCTCCTGGCCACCGGGTCACAGCTTCATTCCTGCCCTGCAGGAACAGCAGACAGCTTCCACCTACCAGCAGGACAGGGGATGTGAGAGCAGAGCACAGGATTTCTCCAGGAGCAAGAAGCAGCACAGAAATGAAGACTGAAGGGAAGGCTACATCCATATGAGATGGCTGAGGGACATGTGCCCAGGGGTCCAAGAGCCCCTTGAGAGCAGGATGGGTGACACTGTGCACACACCTAGGACCCAGTCCCCTTGCATTTCAACTGGAGGGGAACTGGACAGCCCACCAGTGTCACAGCTCTGCTCCAGAACGGAGGAAGCAACAGGAGAGCGTATTTCAAAGGCATTCCATCCTCCACATTGTATGCAAGCCGGGCTGTGACTGCGATAAGGCAAACACTCACAATAGCATGCAGGAATTCAGTCCCCAGGGCCAGTGACTCAGCCTCAGCCCCAGTGGCTGAAGTTCCTCCTAGAGCCCTTTGCTAAAGCTCCCATTTTAAGAGGCATGTTCTATTAATAAGAACTGCTTAAAAATAAGCCCTAGCCTCTCCCCTACTCCTGCCCTGAACAGCCTTTCTTGGGCAGAGAGACTTCTCTAAGCCAATAAATTCAGTCACACAAGTCCCAGCTACCTGCAAGACAACCTGAGCAAAGCCAGATCCTTCCTTGCTCCCAAAGAAGGTGGCTGAAACTGGCAGGCCAAGCTGTCACTGGGCTGTTTAGGTGCTCGACACCAGCCACCCTGCCTGCTGCAGCTGGGAAGGGGCTGAGGGATGCTCGTGCCTGCCCTGGATGGGAGAAGCAGGCACCTGCTCTCCGGCAGGCTGAATTCCTTCCCCACAGCCAGAGCATTAGAGGGTAAAACTAGGTTGAAACTAATCTGTGCTGGATTAGACTTGCCACCTTGATGCACGAGGCTGAACAATGTGATCACCATTTCCCAGGAAGAGGGGAACAGCCAAGAAGGGACCCCAGAGGAACATTTGAAGCTGGAAGAGAGAATTCAATACTAGGACTCAGCTGTCCTTCAGCAGCACGTGCGCACTCAAGACGTTGCCTGCCAAAGACCCTTATCCCAGAGAGAGCTCTGGGGTAGAAATCAGCCAGGAAAACAGGGCTGGGAGGGAGCTAAGTGTTAGGATGAGACAATGAGATTACGCCTGATGGGAATTTGGCCTGATAGGTTTTATTAGGAGCACTTTACTGCTTTGCAGCCCTGGAGCTCTTCAGGGCTTGGGAAACCCCCTCCCTGGCTCCAGCCACAGTATCGGCCCAGGTTTACAGATCAGCTCAGTGTCAGAGGGAGGTGTGAGCTGCTTCGCTGCATGCCTGCTCACAGCAAACCCCCACCACTGCCACGCAGAGCTGGCAGGAGCAAAGCACAGCAGCATGGGGTTTGCTGCCCAGAGCCGCTACAGCCCAACGGCTGCTCAGGATCGGGGGCCAGCCGCTGTCTGTGCTATCTGCAGCTTGATTTCTAGCTGCTCAAATCCCTTCTCCTAGCACTGAGCCAACACACAGGGCAGCAAGGACACGAACAAGCAGCTCCCACCCCCATCAGTGGGAAGTTATGTAGCTTGTTTCATTTTTGTCATCTAAACTTCACCCAGAAGAAAAGCCTGCCAGAAGCGATGGCTGCTTAGGAGAGAGATAGGAGCCTGTCCTCTGCATGGGAGGAAGAAAAGCCCGCAGCCCTGGGGCACAGAAGTGGCACACCAGCAGTGTCCTGTGAAGCACAGCTTCCCAGGCTCGGTCCTACAGCTCCTACCAGCTGAAGGATCACGTACCCACCCTGCGCCTGAGCGATGCTGGAGGACGGCTCTGAAGCAGCAGAAACTGCAGCAATAGGTACAAAACGCTCCCTTCCTCCCCAACCCGAGGGACACCACCACCTTGGCCTTGGGGGACACACTGGACCCACCTACGTGCCTCCTTGGTGCAGGGCGCGTGCCTGCCTTCCAACAGCAGGTTTCAGAGGCTCCTTTTTAGCCAAGTGCTCTTATTCTACACCTTATGCTGCAGCACCTCTTTTTCCACTTATTCCACAGCACCTCCTGGTTTCTAATCACATAATTCCCTCTCTAGTGACCTGCATAAACTTCATCTCTGCTGTCTCACCCCTGCCTGGAGGAACATGTCTGCACTTTTCATTGCCTGGTTAATGCGAGGGCAAGGCAAGCCCACCGTCTCCTCCAGGCTCTCACCTTCTGCAACTCTTTGATTTCTCCACTTGTACCACCAAGGGGCCACTGGCTCTATCACCTAGCGATCACCACACCCACCTAGAAACGACCATAGAAATCCCATCCTTGATTGTTTCAAGGTTAAAACCTTCTTTTCACCCTGAGAACCACTCTTGGCCGGGAGGGATGCCAACAGAGCTGCCCCCGCAGGCCATGCCAAGCAAGGAACGGGGCAAGCCCGGAGCTCCGGGGAGAGGACCTTGCCTGACCCTGGCATGAAGGGCACGAAGCCCAGCGTACTTTGCACTAATCCAGGAGCTGCCATTCCCCCTGCCCAAGGCTTGTGAGACACCCAGCCACCCCGGGCTCCCCATTCACCCGCTACGATTAAAAACTAGAAAGGCTTGAGTCAGCTCTTCTGAGCGGCAGAAACTCCTCAGAGAAGAGCGGAGGGGAGGCTGAAGCCCTCCGGGAGAACAATAGCTCCTGTTCTTGCTGGAGCACGTTCCCAAAGTGACTTTCATGGCAGCCGGCCACCGAGCATCCCCCGGCACACGGCGGCCTCCCGGGCTGCGGGGGGCTGGAGGGGGAAG